TATATGAGTAAACATGTTACCGACAATACAACGGATATTAGCGATACATATACTTATTAACTTTCTTTTAATTGAGTGGTCTGGTACTTGGATTGTGATCCCCAGTCTAAGTGCTTAGAAGCAAAAAAACGTGGCATTGGTTTCTACTCAGTGACCAATCAGTTTAAATGCCTTGATTCCACAGCAGGTCTCGGTTCTGTATGTGACAGTGAGTCATAAAGATTTAGATCTCACCTACAATTATTCGTTTATTCAGTATTGTAAATATTCTTTCATAGTGAGTATGACTTAACCTAATGTTTGGGTCCTTAGCTTTCTGCTAATTATCTTAAACTACCTAACACCAGATATACTGAATCTTATATAGGTTTATCTAAACCTATGGCTACATTACACACAGTACAAACAAAGTTTACAGTCTGAGAATTATAAACTACTATTCGTTTGTTAAACCTCAAGTTCATTGCTCTGAAAATAATTACCAGTTAACCCAAAAAGCTCACTCTGTAGTGGACTAATTAGCCTAAACATTAGGTTGTATTTCTCCGGGTAAAACCGAGTTGAGAATAAACTAATGGTATATTTTCTTTTTTAAAGTATGACTTGACAGTTCTGCGGTTTGATTCCTTGCTCTAATAGAGGATAAACATATTTCCCTACTCGGTACTATTAAAAGTCAGTTATATTGTCTCCGATCCGGATCCATTCTTAGAACATATTGCTTCAAGTATTAGAAGATAACCATTAAAGCTGAGAATTTACAGAGGTAATCCCCGTTTGATATGGGAAACATATCTAGTCTCATATATTTGATTCACCGAATAAAATCAATTGATCAACCTACAATAATATCAGAACAAAAGTAACAACAGTCATCGGAAACATACTAACAAAAGGCCTATATATATATATATAGTGAAATGAGTAAGTAATCTGGACATAAAATAATATTTAAAATATGTATTCATCTGAATTCACTTATTTCTGGAAACCTGCTTTAAATATAATGTTTAATCTACTCATCTACGAGGTAAATATAATGCTTAACTGGTTAGCGTGTTTAACATACATTATAAATCGTCTTTAAAGTTTACTTATCTCTATAAAGCTAACTTCCAAAGGAATTTATCATTTCGATTGGTTCTTTTAATTTGGTTGTTTGCCTTTCTCTTTTAAAAAAAAAGCAATAACAAAACATATCACAGTTTAATTAGTAGCTTTAGAATGCAGCTACAATAGGAAAGAATTTGTAATGATTTCAATAAAATAAGTTAAGTGCCCAGATAAACAAAAAGACATCAGTTTTTTATTCTCTAAATACACATACAAAGGAAATTGTATCATGTAGAAGAACAAGTGAATCAAGTAGGAAATCTCTATTCTATAGCATGGACTATATTTTGTTGGATTATTTAGAATAACAAGTAAGTAATATGGGTTTATATTTTATCTCGTGGTTCCCTCTTCTTTTCATGTTAATTAAGAAAACACAAAAAAACCGAAAATTCACACATTAATTTAAGACACTATAATAATGAACAAATCATAAAACTAAGATGTTAAAACAGTTTTATGGAACTCTACTGTAGTTTGTTAATTTTCATAACCAAACGATGACGACTTTTGTAAGTCACTATTAACCATAAAATATGGAACAGACGTTTTCCCCTCTTTTAAGACTTGTTAACAATGTACAACTACTACATTATATAGGATCAAGGATAAAAACATTTACAATATTTGTTCATGAACATGATATTATTGTAATACAGAGTTGATACTGGTTGCATAATTCGATTAGCTAAATAGCTTGATCACCACTCAATATAATTGATAAAAATTACTTCAGTATCAGTATAGTTAACTTCACAAGCTATGACATACTGACCTTTGTTAAATGTTAAGAATTTTTGGAAGACATTCATAACTAAAAATAAATGACATTTCCATGCAGTACAGTTTTTAAAAAAGAGCTAGTCAATCTTGTTACAATATCGAGTGACTTGATAATTTGAAACCTGTTAATTGAGTGTAGTGTGAAAATTATACTAGTTTTTTGCAGTTCAAGGGGTATCTTTGCTATATTTTAACTAATGCCAGTTTTACTTAGGGAGTATTTCGAAACTGAAAATTCACCTAAGTAATGTGTGAAATGATCCTTGGACAACACTTACTGACATTTTAAAAAAAACTAACCGTAAACTATGTTTCCTAAAATTCTCAATTTAAAACTGAACTTAGAAATAAATATTTCGGATATCTGAAATTGGTCAGAGTAGGAAAGCAGCAACAGATTGTTTGTTTTTTAAAGACATTTAAATGTATTTAAAGAATTGTTTCCTCTATAAAGACTAATTTCAGAAAGTTTGTTTTTTGAACAAGCACAAGCTAGGTAAAAATCGCAAATCGGAAGATTTTATACGCATGTGTAGTCTTACTTTGAAACTCCTCACCAGAATGAACCAGTGACTGCTCTGGAGATGGATATCACTACCTATAGGCTTAGCACTAATAGCTCTATCTTTAACCTAGTTTTCATTCGATGATACACGTTTTCAACTTCAGTCGACATGCGATGTTATTCAATCATCATTAATTTCCGTCTACGATAACCCCTTAATTTCTGTTAGGATTGGACCACGCTTCTCATTAACACTTCAAGAATACGTCTTATAAGTAGGAGAATAATCATTAATAAAATAAAAGATTTGTAGAGGCATTCTGAACTACCATGATATATATCTTCAGTGCTTTCAAGTTTGGAATAATTCTTCACTTCATATTATCTGGTAAGGAAAATTGCTTTCAAAAGTCCTACATTTATAAATAAAAACCTAGAAGCTTAGAAATAATAATCAAGAAGTAGTAAATGCAATTACGACAAAAGGTTTCCCTTGCTATTGATTATTGTTTCAACACATTAGTGTAAAAGCTTCGACATTATTCAAGAACAGTAACAACACTACTATGAAATAAATAAAACCAGAGTGCTAAAACCATAACTTTTTCATATCACAACGTAAAGTTTAGAGCGGAATTATTTTTTTACATTTTAATTCACACCCTACCTACCTCCATTTAGTTTATCCGGGACAATACCTATGTAGTTTTTATTATTGACAACTTATGTACCTTGGTTTTAGTTATAAATTACCTGAGAATATACAGAAATTGGATAACAAACGTATCTCATGTGGAGATGATATTGTTTAGTTGTTACTAAGTGGGGAAGTATAACAGTGCATCTAGTGTAGTGACAAGTCTATTTAATAAAGTAAGACTTAGCTGTCAGCGTATGTACACTTGATTTTCCAACGTTCATTAAAACTACTGTTGTTGTTTATGTGATTTTATTGTTACCAGGTTAAAAAAAACGACAAATTTTATAACCACAAGTATATGTACACGGGAAATTTCAGTTCTGCTTTTTTTGTTGTGGTTAAATGTGTTGTTTAATTCAAATACTTCTTTTTCAAGAAAGTACCTTCAAATTAATCTGGAATAATCTTAAGTTATAAAAAACACCATTTATTATATACCAATACACGACAAAGTGAGAAAAAGTGCAATGAAATAGTATTTTACGTGACTAATCATCACTTTGAAAGTGATTGGATTTAACTTAAAAACACTTGATCATACAGAATTATGTACATAAATGAAGTTACAAATAAAAAAATCCATCCACTTAATTAGTTGACAACAATTCGTCTAAATAAAATGATTGATAAACACTGAACAAAACTTCCAAATCAATGAAATTTTGTAATAGTTTACGGCTATTATTGTTGCTGTTATCCCTTATTATAAAAATGATGAAACAATCCTTTCTGTTGTAAAACCCATATAAAATAGCTGATTTCCTTTAATGATTATTTATAGTGCATATATTAATAGGATCTAAACGTATAATTTCATTTCAATATTTCAAATTGGATCGAGTAGTATATGTTTAGTAACATTCGAGTACTGAGTAGAAATCAATGTTATGTTGTTTGAGTTCTTTATAACTAATTTAATTCTTTCAATCAGGTTTGTAGTGCTAATACTAGACTAATGTGATTTGATGTCACGATGAATTTTGTTAGATAATCAATCGATATGACGGACTGAATACAGTTTCTGCTCTAGTTTGCATTCATTAACTGTCTTGAATGAGCGATTTCTCTCACATAAATTCATGTCAGAACCCCCCAGAACTCCATTTAGAGAAATCATGAATAGCGTCTCATTAGATTTTAGATGCTTTTCAGTTGATTATTAGTGAGCAGCTCCAAATCTATATTGAGGACCTCCTACTGAATTTACATACTTTGTCAGTCATTTATAATTATGAAGTGAGAAGGGCTTTTGTGGAGATTTCAGTATTTTCATAGTTGAAATCATGAGTCAATTGAAGCTGGTTGGATTTGCAAAAAATGTTGTTTGTTTATTACGGGCTTATGATGAATTATTATATATACTTCAGCTATGAAATCAAATCGTGTTCTACCGAATAAAGTTCAAATACTTATGAAACTTTATAAATAACGATATAATGTATAAGTTTAGCTCACAGTTTAGTATATAAATTTTGACATAATTGTTGACATTTATCGATTTTTGAAAGAATCGGTAAGTTGATATAGTGGAAAAGATTTGTAACTCATGTGGGTGATTTTGATGGAGTTTTGTTCTCTGAGCACACTTCACTTCTACGTAAAGTTTGTGCTGATAATGTCATTCAGAATAATGATGAAAGCCCCACCACCAAACCATCCAGCTTAGAGGATAAAACTCCATCAAAAACTGTTGAGTTGATTGGTTGAGCTATCAGATAATAATATGATCGGTATTCACTTTATAGATAGAGCTTAAAGACAGTGACTTACGTAATATTGATTCTTCAATATATTCTCACATTTATTTACGAAGAATATCAATAAATTCTTAGAGTGAAATATAAAAGTCAGTAACTTGTTTTACAAAAATCAAATCGTATTTATAGCTTATCAACTCACCAGTATGTTCATATTTGTGCCTGGATAATGAACTATGTTTAGAGAATACTTTTTGACACTGATCACAAGCAAATACTTCCGTGTTATTGACGCCATCACTACAACTACTAATGCTACCATTGATACTATCATTAAGACTATTGTTACTTTTTCCACATTTCACCAATTTTTCACAAACACTGAGATGATATAAATGATTATAATAATTATTATCATTGATATGCCCATTAATCTTTTTATCAGATTGAATACGATCACCGGTATCTTGTAGTTCATTGATTTGAGTGAACGAATTTTCAGCATCTCTTAACTAAAGAGGTAAAGAAGGAATCAAGATGTATACAAAAAGAGAACATTAAAAATGGTTACAAAAAGATAAGCCGTCTATACAAATGACTTTTTTGTTGATCATCTGTACTTGGGCCGACTAACTACTGATTAACAATCATGAAATTAGACATATTGCTTTTATCATCACTGTAAATATTTAAATGAAACAAAACAATTTCCAACAGAAATTGTATTCATTAAACTATTCATAACAATCAAAATGGGGGTTTGTGGAGATTGTAGTAATTTTAATAATTAGATTCATGAGTTGATCTTAGTTCAGCAGTGCGCACTCACGATCCAACACATGGGCCTTGAACCCAGGACCTTCGGTCTCGCGGACGAACGGTTAACCTATAGACCACTGAGCCAGCATCCAACGGTGTTAATGTTGGAAGTTGTGTTCATGCGAGAGAGCAAAGGTCCTGGGTTCGAGTCCCATGTGTTGGATCGTGAGTGCACAGTGCTGAGGAGTCCCGTACAAGGAGGAAATAGCATTCCAGTGCTTCCAGGTTCCCAATAGTGTTCTAGTTGAGATCAACTCATAAATTCAACCATTAAAATATTAATAGTAAACTCATTGATTAAACAATGTGTGTTAGTATTAGTTATTTTAAAAAAAATTAATGTAGAATCCATTAATTACAGTTATGAGATAATAAAATATTAAAGTTAATTCGTATGATACAGACTAACTATGCTATTTTATTGTTAGCTCTCAGAAACTCGAAGTGAATCCGTACACTTCCATTTACTGTTATACATTGAGCGAGTAGAAAGTGTGCAGAAAATAAAATTATCTGAATCTCCGTTTAAATTAATTAACCACCACTTTGAAAAACTTTGAAAAGTCTATATTTCTTAGCTAGCCTTCTACTTTATCCGTAACTTATAAATGTTACGGGTCAATTAGGTTAGAAAGTTATCATTGAACTACATAAGATTATATTTGTATCCTGGTCTATTTTGTGTATTACCTTATTTGTTACACGATTAAAATACTCATAGTTATTTGCATGCTAACAAATGAATTTATGGTAATATATATGTGACTAGAATGCACATACATGTGTATTTTTAAGTGGTTATGACCCTACACACATAATTTATTTCTGGCTTACAAGTCTGAATTTCATTTCAGTTGTGTATTTTAGAACAATTTATAAATTAACACTACTAGGGTCGCAAATCTATCACCCTATACATAAACACTTGTGTGGTCATTAAGTTTCGTCTAAATTCAATTTAATACTGTTTGAAATGGAGTTAACTTTCTAATTAGTTCTTCACACAATAGTTCTTTTATAAACCTAGATTTTTTTTACCATTACCATTGTTATCAGTAGTAGTAACACTATTATATTCGTTATTATTACTAATGTAAGTGATCTTCCATAATTAAATAACCTTGTTTCTCCTAGGCAAGTAAAAATATTTTATAACACCATAGTGTAAATCCTGAATTATTTAGTTAAACGTGTAAATTTAGTCTAATTTTTCCAAATTATGGCTGATGAGCCTGCCTATAAAATCATTATATATTTTGATTCATCATAACAAGTTGATAACACTGGGTACTACTGCTAATCAATGTTAATAAAATTCCAATACTCACTATATTGAGTAGTTCATTTACCGAGTCACCAATATCCTCTTATTCCAGTAAATATATTTATGAAACAACAAAGTGCACAATAGTTTTTTGTGTGTTTTAATGAAAAAATAACACTAATGTTTATAATACAGTGTATCAATGTTTATCAACTGTGTTGAGATGAATATGAACTGAATGTTATATTACATAACATTTATAAACAAAAACACCACTACAGTGATTGTTAGCCATCATCATACTCAAAATAAATCATTCATGTCAATAACATTAAAGTTTTGTACTTTAACTGATAAGGTGTTATTTTCAAAAAAATCATCTAGTTTACACTTAAAGATGTTTATAATTAGGTTTCAGTGACTGACAATCTATTCACCCATACTTTATTTTCCAACACTGAATATGATTAATCTACTAATAATCATATAAATAATTCGTATTCTTGAACAAGTAAATTACTTAAAATATTGTTCACTTATGTAAGTTATATTTAAATATTCCTCAGCCACTTCACAAGTCAAGATCCATTCATTTTTAATGTGGTATAATCAACAGCTGCGTTCAACTGATGAGCTGTAGGAAACCAAATAACACTAGACCATCGGTTCCTTTTACGTTTATATTTCTCAATAATCCCCACCCAAGGCCTCATCAACAATCAAATTCAGGACTCTCAGTTCGCGCATTGTGTACGATGGTTTTCGATCAGTGAATTGTAACTCAATGGTTCATATTTTTAACTTCAGTTAATCGTTGATATAGTGCGATGGTTATCCAGTTTCATCCGTGTTTCTGTTCTTACTGTCGACAAAATTAAACTGCTCCAAGCATAATTCATGACTGAAATATGATGACTGTATCTCAAACTTAATAACCACTGGCCACAGCACATTTTCTCGCTTAGAATTTTGAGATAAACAACAATAGACGTTTGTATTATCAGAAACGATAAAACAGATGGAATTATTTTGGAATAGTAGACATTTTTAAAGTAATGTATAAATAAAAACAGGGAAACTATCTGATCTAATGAATATTAACAAGCATTTACGACATAATGAATGTGATAATTTTATATTGTATAAATTTTTGAATGATAGATTCTTAGAAAGGACATCCTAAAAACTATCCATTAGCACATCGAGTTACAGAAATTAGCATTAAAGATTGAACTGAGAACAATAAATTTTTCCCTAAATGACCAGTATTAATACATGTGTTAATACATGAAAATCACTTTTGTTTTACCGGAAATTTGATCAGTGCTTTCCCTCTTGTTCAAAGCAGTTGTAAAATTTAAAAAAAAATACTGACTATGACACGATTCTCACTCATTGTGAACACTGAGTTACAGTTTGATCCTTAAAACTGATATTTCACGCTTTCCTGAGCACTAGAAAATCGAAGTTTCAAGATTCAATCACATGTGGAACACTAATTATGAGTTTGCAATGATGGCGATTCTCATACTAGTCTGTTCAGTCTATCTAATGACCCACAGTCTTCGAGAGTCCTTCATCCGGCGTTATTTTAGGAATGAAAAGTACCTTCAAATTGTAGGAACTATTCACAGTACCACCTAATTTGAAAATATTTGTTTTGTTTTAATTTTAAGATCATTAAAATTTAATCTAAAGAAGAAATGTTTTATTTAGGATTTCAATAAACCGCTATTGAGACTAAGTTTGCTTGTAAACAAACAAAGTGAAGACATAGTACTGAAGTTTACTAAAAACAATTTACTTTAAAAATAAATTTAATTCAATAACTAAGTGCAGTTTCGTTAATTTGACTCCTAACTATTTCACCTGTTTGAGAATAGTATCATTCTCCGTCTGTCAAATTGAACTAAGTGAGGTGGGTTAGAAAACAGATGGAAAACCAATGTTTTAACTTATAAGTTACTATATCATTGGTTCTATTTATAGCTAACATTAGTTACAACATATAGTCAAGGCGTATAGTAAAATAAAGGGTTTGATGGTACTTCAATTGATTTTGATCTTGTATGCTTTAAAAGCTGACTTTTCATAAATAACATATCATATTACACTCCATATATAGCTAGTTCATCTAAGTTTTATATACTTGGAATATTTATATATATTTCCAGAGTTACCCTATGATATCTAATTAGCTTCTAGGAACGAGTATCCGATAGAAACTGAAGGCGTCAATCTATTTTTTATTCGTAAAAGATTGAGCTTCACTTTTTTTAAAAACATTGTTCAAGTTGAATAACATTAAATTTTGACAGTGATATCAATTATGAATAATGTAAATATATGGTAACTTACTTCGTTTACAACACTTCTCTTATCCATTGTGGTCTTTACATAAGTAGAATAGTCAAACTCATTTGTATTATAATAATTATTTCTTACAGTTTTGCAATCGTTACTGCTATCGCTAATATTATGAATACAATTTCTGTTAAGTTCATATGCCCATGAAGAATTGTTAAGTGATATCAACCTAGATGACTGTGATAGATCCTTTATTGAAATATCATTTAAATGTTCTAAATTTTGATTTGAATAATTCATTTCATTCGATGTTCGCGATAAAAAGGAAACAGCTGCAACCGCTGCAGTAGCCGCTTCCATAAATGTCATTGTTGATGATGTTGACCACATTAGGTTAGGGGATTTATGAATGTCCGGTTGATAAGAATTTGAAAAGTTAAACTGTTGACTGTCTATACTTAATGGCATATCATCAGGTTTTATTCGAGGCAATGACAAATCTAAAGCCTTTTCTTGATCTTCATGAAGCTTTTCACTTCGACATTCCGAAATCGTTTCTTTCTCCTGCTGTACAAATGTACTTGGTTGTGCAGTTTTCGTCGTCGTCGCTGTCATCATGATTTCCAACGGTGATGATTGTGCTGGTGGTGATGACGGTGGGGATTGCAGTGTTTCCATGATGCGTGAATTGAAATCCTGTTGTTTATGAGTAAAGGATGATAGTGGAGTTGAGTAATTCAATACATTATTTCTGTGTAAATTAGAAATTATATGTTTCATGATATCTGGAGATAGTTGACAGAATACCATCGATGGATCCTGTTGTGAATAATCAGATGAGCACACTGTCGATGATAAACTTGTCATATTTGTTGTTGGTATGGACGATAATGAAGAAGATGAAGAAACACCAAGATAGGATATTGATGGTGATGATGATAATGGTGAGAAAGATGGTAAGGTAGAGAAAAAGGCAGAGGATGATAATGAGTTCGAAGCATAATTATCCAATTTATAACTTTCATACTTGGTAAAACTGTTATCACTGAATGACTTTGGTTGACGAATAACTAATTCATGATTATTTACTGCTGAGATCACTGGTGAAGATGTGGTTATCTTTGCATGTTGTAGTGGATAATAGTGCGAATATTGTGTATTGTAGGCATTGACAAATTGTTTTTTCTGTTCCAAACATTGTTGTTCAGTTGTATACAAATGTTGAAACAACTGTTTCGCATTTTCTGGTTTCATTCCAAGCATAATTGCTAAATTTTGTATTTCTAACTCTGATTTAGACAAATTTTTCGAATCATACTGATTACTTAATAATTCGTCAGGTTGTTCATCCGCATGATGCAAATTACTATCATTAGCAATGGTAGTTAAAGTGGAAATAATACTACTACTAGTAGTAGTACTGTGAACATGCTCACTAATTTCATCACTTTTCAAATGTGAATTAAACTGGTTGGATGAATTAGCTGGCAAATAGTTATCTAGTTTAAAATGATTAAATTTTAAAAAATAATCTGCATTATTAACTTGATTGACAGATTCTAATATACTTGAAACAGAGCTGAGTTCAGTGTCTTCACTGATATGAATATTATTTTTAATGTCATGTTCTCTATTTAATACATTTACCTTGCTTTTGTGTAATTCAAAAGATGATGTGAGTTGGTTTATTTTATTAAAAGACGATTGATTCATAGGCGTATCATTAGTCGCAAACATTTGACCAACATCGTTACTATTTTTGTTATGATAAATACTGACATTAGGAGTATGTGTAGTTGTTGTGTTAGTTTCATTATTAATGTTACCACTGATATTACATTTTTTGCTTGACATATGACTTGAATATGAACCGGAATGACTAAAACGTTTACCACATTGTGAACACATAAATGGTTTTTCACCACTATGAATTCTTTCATGTTCTTTTAAATGATGCTTAAATTTAAATGCTTTTGTGCACTGAGAACAACGGAATTTGCGTAATTCATAACTTTCAGTGTGACTAAGTAAATGTCTGTGTAAACGATAAATATTAGCAAATTGTTTACCACATTGACTACATATTGGTGTATTACGTGTAGATGTATCAGTTTCCATAGTTGAATGTTGTTGCTGCATTGAATCACTATTTTCATGTTTATCCAATTTCGGTTGAATGGAATAATTAGTTAACGCGATATTTTGTTGACATTGTTTTACATGTTGATTCACTTTTAATGTTTCTGTTGAAGCATCGGGGTATAACCCCATTTTATTCATTGTCAACTGTTTAGACAGTATTCTTCCACTTTTGAACGATGATTTATGCTCTATAGAAATCTTTAATTTTTTTGAATCAGGTTCACATGATGATGAAGATGTCGAAGAGGATGATAAGGATGACAATACTGAACATGAAGTAGAGGAACAATCTGAAGTATTGATCATCCTTGAAGTTGATGTTATCAACACTAATGGTGGGTTTGCTATACTTCCAGTAGATATGTCAGGAGTTAAATAATTTGAAAATTCACAGGTTTCCAATGTTTGATACTGCTCAGTATGGTCTGAAAATTTGTCAAAAATACATTTTAGCATATGATAGTCATCTTTAAGATAAGTAAAAGAGGTAAAAAGAAATGGATTAATTGATCTCATTTGAATTCTGTGATCACAGAGAGTATCTGATGAATTTTTGTGAGACATACAAACATTCATGACGGTGTGTTTACCTTCTATCTGAATCTCACTCGTTTCAAATCAAGGTGAGTTTTTACTCCCTTTCTATAAATTCTACTTCTCACTACCCTCCCCACCACCATACACATGCCCATTTACCATACCACCTGGCAAAATAGGTTGCAGCATTTCACCTACTATTTTTGAAATATATATGATAGAGGTAACATCATACCACGCCTACATAAACCTTTACAAAAACCACTGGTTAACACGTGGGCAAATAGGTTAACAGTTTTACTATTCATATCCATACATATATGTTATGTATGTACGTATATATGAACCTATTTAACCAATTAGGATACAGGTGAGATATTGCACCGCAGTGTTTTCATATATACTTTCCTACCCTTTCAGAGAAACTAACAAGGAGATTCTAGACATTTTCTACTGGGTGGGATTCAAATACATATTTGTATACATAAAGAAATATACGTTCCCCGTTGGTCTATATGTCTATGTATAGAGTTGAAGCGATTTCTTGAAAACTTTAGCAACAGTATGCACCTGATGATAGTAGTCAAGTAGAAAGTAATGGAGGAAAGAACAATATGAAATAGAAAAAAAGGAGATGAAATTTGAAAAACAGGAATACGAATAATAATGTCCGGGGTTCATTATGTTCAGGTGTGAATTAATTTAGCAGGTTATCACATAAAGTGAATTGTCCAATCATTGATTTGTAAGGAACTAGACAACGCATTATTGGTATAAAATTGTATCATAGTTTTAGTTTTCATTAGATGAGGACATTCCACCAGATCAGATGGGAATTTACAAATTCACAAGGCACATAATATGTATACACTAAAAATTGTTATTCATGAGGGGAAGTCAACTGTATTGTTTTGAAAATTTTCACAGTTGAAATCACGAGTTGATCTAGGCTAGGCCACCATTGAAAACCTGGAAGCACTCGACGACCTTTTCGTCCTAGTACGGGACTCTTCAACAGTATGTATCCACAATCCCGCGAGCGAACACTTAACCGATAGACCGAAGATTCGGTATCCAACGGTATTAATGTCTCGCGTGCGGGATCGTGGATGCGGACTGTCGAGGAGTCCCATACTAAGATGAAATGGCCGTCGATTGCTCCCAGGTTCTCAACGGTGGTCTAGCTTAGATCAACTCATGATTTCAACTGTGAAAATACCACAATCTTCACAAATCCTCATACTGAAAAATATCCATCATAAAGTAAAAAATTATATACAATATAATCACAGTTATATTGTTAACTCAGAAATTTTCACCATCACATTTAGGTTTCATTAAAAGTAATCACTACTCAGAGAGTAAATCTAAGTATTTACTGGATTGTGATTTTCCCAACACCTCTCAAATCCGGAGTCAAAATAGCGTTCTCATGAAAACTGTCTTCAAGCCATTCAGTTGCTCCCAAAATATACATGTAAACATTACCATTACAACTACAATTTAATTCTTTTCTATTGGTTGTCTGAGTCTTCCTATTTATATTATCGGACTGCGATTGATCAATTATTTTCGACATATGCGCATTCTTTACAGATTGACTCAATATTGCCAACATGTTTAGCAAAGTTGGATGGTTCAGACAGTGAAATCCCGGATGCGAAAAATCGAAATTTAGTTTAACATTTTTTAGCAAGTAGTTGACCTCATCGACTGAAACTATTCAGTAAATCAAGAATGACAGAATTTGTATTTCAACCAAGTTTAAGACCTCTCGGCAAAATGTCTACACAATATTACATCACTATCTGGATACTGTTAAAATCCCATGAGAGATATTTCTAAAATTTAAACAATAAGTGAAGTAACCCTATCCACATTTCCATTTGATAAGTTTGTGAGTTTTAACGTAATTTTAGAGTACCATTTAAAATTAACACTCCACCATAAGTTAATTTTTCGTAATTCACAAATTAGAACATTTTAACCATTTAGTATCTCACAAAAATGATTCTAAAAATGGACTTCACTGAAAGGAAAGAAATCTCCAAGAGAAAGATAACTGAATAAAACCAGTGAAATCAGAATAAAGAACGCTACACTTATCAATAAACAAGCAATATACGCAAGTTACTGGTAACTAGAAATGATATTTATATTCTATTAATAAGATTTCTAAATGCAAGATAAATTATCAAAAATAAGACAATTTATATTGACAACTGGTGGTAGAGTTTACTGAAACTTCATATAATCAATACAGTGCAAAGTTTCTTCAAATGAATTTTATTTAAGAAGAACTCCATCACCTCGCCATAAAGTTAAAATCAACAAGAGATAATGTTATAAGAAAACATAACGACATAAGTCAATAAAAGATTGTCTGCCAGTCCGTTATCTATGTTCGACCTGATATTGAACTCAGAATTTAGATATTTAAACAACAAACTAATCAACAATAAATAACTTTCGGAATTTGGAACTTTCTTATTCCATTTTGTATAACAGTAAAAGATGTGAAAATTAATTATTTATTCCGCTGTTTTCCCATAGTCGCGGTAATGGTGTTTGTACTTTATCATATCAATAAACACTTCATTTTATTTATTATTTATTTAAACACATAAATATCGGTACAAGGGAGCACCAAATATATATGCGCCGCACAAATCTTATTTGATTCGTGTAAGGGCTGTGATACTTCCTTTCTGTCATACATTTCGTCATGCATTCATTATTCGAATAATGATAAGCATTTAGATAGAGGTAGTCAATACTATTATTATTTTAACTATTACTAATCGTCCATTAGTCTACAATAATATTCACATATCAAATTAAAGTGATTAACCTTTGGTTTCACATAGATGTTTATAAATACACATCCATGTATAATGTGTCAATGTTTACAGGTATGTGAAAATGCACGTCTGTTTCAAGGTGAAGGTAAATATCAATTACTGTAAACTTTAGTGAAAACTCTTATTCTAATAAGTAGGTTGCTGTGATTAAAGTTGGTTTTTAAAATGCTTATAGTTAGATACCGATGTTAACTGGATAAAACTTGAAAACCAGAGGACATTATACTCTTATTTAATCAGTGAAATACAGCTTTGGATGATACATATTCTATCAACAACAGAAAAATGAATTGAGGCTAAAACGGTTTGCCTTTCATAATGGAGGGTATGTAAACACTTGTATCTCCTTAGTTTCCATTCTCAACAACGCCCCTGTATGTTTCCAGAAGACAAGCTCTACATTTGTTTAGTCATTTTATCTTTTTTTGTTGTCTTTACGTCATCTAAGTGGCTCTTCCTTATGACCATTTTGTATTTTAATAGAAGTAAATCTCTGTAGAATAAGTTCTGTGACTGAGAAAAGTGATCTATTGTTATAATCGAATTTGACGAGTGGGATAATTGGAGAGTCCCTGCTGAGTGTGTGACGCATTATCATTATGGAGCAGCTATCTATCAGTATCACAATAGTTTGGTCGCATTTATTCTTTTGATCCTCATTTCTTCTTCTCTGATTTCGACTAGGGATCGTACACACAGAACCATGATTAATTATGCCTGCAACTAACAACCTCTATAGTAGCTGTTACTTTGACGTAGTCATCAAACTTTCATATCGTGAAGAATCAGAAGAGCTATGTTAGTTGACACAATTGCTCCTTTAATTCATATCACATTATCACACTAGTCAGGTCGGATGGACAATGGTCTAGAGTATTTGTCCCTTGGGCTCTGAGGTCACATTCCCAGGTAACTATGACCACTAACAATCCACTTCATTTTTTTAGGCATCTCAATAAGCACTTTTCCACTGTTCGGGTACCCAGGAGATAATAACAGCCCAGATAACTACAGTGGAACTCAAGATCCTCTTGTTCACAATCAAACACTTGGTCAATTCTCAATATTCTTTCTATCCTCACTACCAACCTTCTTCCTGTTACTTTATCACCGAAGCATTGCTAACAAATTAAATTCACAAGATTTTATTCCTGGTTTACTGAAACTATACTCTGAACTAAATGTTGGAGGTGTCAATATTCGGACGTCATTTCAAATAGGACAACAGGTTTATCTAGTTAGAACTCTTGAATTGTGCATATACTGTGTCTACAAAACATGCACTCTGGGTTCAAGTATGGACATCTGCGTGACCCCACTCAGTATACGTAGATAACCTCCTTGACTAATAACCCGTATACTTGGGGAATTACATTTTTCTTACAAGGGCTTTGATCAGTTAGGAATGGGATCAATTTCAAAAGTATGTTAGACCCTCATAGACTGGATCTTAATAGACAAGCACTTATGTGTTATCCATTTCAAGTGGGCAGTATTGTAGTGAACGATAGCATAGGTGGGGACAATCAAATGTATTTGAACACAAAATTACAGAACATCTTAGTAAAATTTGAGAACCATATAGCAAATAATTCATTTGCAAAATGTCGATCAATTGTCTCAGACTACATTATTCTTTCGTTTCCACACCAATCATTTTTTGTTCTCGTTCTCTTTTCTTTAATAATCTTAACCTTCTATCTCCAGGCATTTCACTTTCGATTGATGATACATACTACTTATATCTGGCAACATGAGTAGCATACACCACTGGATGAGTTAGAGCAGATAGAGAAAAATCTACTACCTCATCTTTTTAAATTCGATTACAGGAGTGGTCGTGGATGCTTACTGATAACGAATATTATACCAAAATGAAAAATATACCAGCTCGTTTCCCTCTTGAAATTGGTGTCTAGCCACTCTCAGTCTGTGAAGTACATCACTAAATATACAATCGTCTGAATAGGTTGATATATGCAAATACACTTGATGTGAATATACTGTTCACTTGATCGAACGTCAAT